CCGCGTCGGCGCACTCCCGGCGCGGGCTGGCGCGCCCGTTAGCTGGGGAGGGCGGCGTGGGCTGCCGGGAAGGCGCTCTCCGTTTCGGGTCCCGCTCTTCAGCTGGGTGCTGCTACAGCGGCTCGGCTGTCTCGAGAGCTCCTCGGCTCTGCCACGGCACGAGAGCAAACTGCCCGTCTCTGACGGCCGCGGAGGAATTGGGGAGCCACATGGCAGAGGTTCAGGACGCGGCGTTCCTGCCCGTTAAGTGTCCAGGCAGGGCTGGGCCATGACTCAGGGGAAGAGCCGGGAAAGTGGCTGTTCGAACGCTGGACCCCAGTCTCCTTAATCTGGGCGGGCTCTACATCAGATCGGTTCTGGGACCGGGAAGGAGGGATTTCCTTGGGGGTGTCCTGTTTCCGTGGTATCACATACTCAGGCCATAAGCGCACCGTGAAGAGTCCAGAGTCCCAACACCGGTTTGGACAAATCCGATGTATTTAAAGTAGCGCTATTTCCGGGGGTAGGTGGGATGTGGGTGACGGAGGACGGTACCAAGCTCCAGACTGCCCCGAAGCCCCGGCTGTGGCACATCATTCCAAAGGTTGGTTGAGAGGATGTAGCCTGGCTGGCCCCTGTCAGGCTCTGGCCCCAGCCCTTTTCACCAGCCTGGCCAGACACTCTGGCCCCAAAGTCAGCTTGATAAAAATTTAGCCACGACCGCCAGGAATAAGGTGCGCGCTGGCCCTAACGCCCAGTGGCATACCCTGGCGTCTTCAGCCTGTTCACAGGGTTTTTGTTATTTTGTGCCACGTTTCATCCTTTTCACTTTGTTCTTAGCCTTTCTTTGTCTCCCTTTTGAAGGCTCTATTTGTTGTTGTCCTGTGCTTAAAGCGTTTTCTTTTGCCTAAAAAAAAAAAAAGCCCCGTCTTATGCACTAAGCTGACCAAGGTATCCAGAGTCTCCCTTCACAGCTTTTGCCTAAAAACAAAGACCTCATGCCTAAAAACAAAGACCTCCTACCTAAACCTGTCGTTTGCAGTCCACACCCAGAAAGGGAACTCCCTGCAACAGGATTCTTCCTCAGTTCTTACACACCAGCAACCAGCAAGGCTACCGCTTCCTGAAGCCTGCAGCCATCATTTACGAATGATTTTGAAATTTTTATCATACATGTATAATTTATCTCACATGACTGTGTTGTCCTAGTAAAAATACTCAATTGTATAAAAGTTACATAATGACTTTTGCACTCCTAACTTAAGCCATTAGGCTTTCGAACCCTCTGCACTGGAGGGAAAGTAAACGTGCCCCTTGGCAAGATTAGCGGCTGATTAGCCTTTATGGAGGGTGTGGAGGTGACCATTCAGGCCACCAGCGAGACCCTCATCCCAGACACCTTCCACTCACCATCAGGCCACCAGCGAGACCCTCTTCCCAGACACCTCTTTGCTTCATACCGAAGCCGGAAGTTCCACTACTTGGAGCTGCATTCCTTTGGTTTAAGCTTCACTCTTGGAAGTGCTCAAACCGTGGTGAGCTAACAAGGCAGCTTCAAGCCATTTTAACCTCTAAACTTGAGGCTCTAAAGCTTCCTATTAACATTGAGGTCAGGAGAATGGTGCCCTAGAGGAGGCGCTAATGGAGAGCCAAAAGGAGCGAATGTGTGCTGC